AGTCCCCCCCCAGCGGCCAAACAAGAAAAAAGGCGCGCCTTGGCTACTCGACCAACACCAAATGGCAGCCGGCCCCCTGGTCACAACCTTCGGCGCACGTAGAAACAAAGCTCACCTCGCATTCATTACACACTTCCGCTACTCACTATGGAGTCCTCATTCACCGTTGGCCACCCTGTGACCTGCCAGCCCCACCATTAGTACCCCCCCTCGAAACTGCTTAATCAAGAAAAAAGGCGCGCTCCTCAGCCAACACCAAATGGCGGCCGGGCCCCTGGTCACAATTTTTGGCGCACGTCAAACCAAAGCTCACCTCGCATTCTTCACACGCTTCCGCTGCTCACTGTGGAGTCCTCACCCACCGTTGGCCGCTCTGTGATACGCCAGCCCCACCATTAGTACCCCCCTCAAGGGCCAAAAAAAAAGGCGCGCCTTGGCTCCTCAGCCGACACCAAATGGCAGCCTGCCCCCTGGTCACAATTTTCGGCGCACGTCAAAAGAAAGCTTACCTCGCATTCTTCACACGCTTCCGTTACTCACTGTGGAGTCCTCATCCACCGTTGGCCGCCCTGTCACCCGCCAGCATAACCATTAGTACCCCCTTTGAAACGGCCAAGCAAGAAAAAAAGCGCATCTCTGCTCCTCAACCAACACCAAATGGCAGCCGGCATCCTGGTCAAAGTTTTCGGCGCACGTCAAAGCAAAGCTCACCTCGCATTCTTCGCACGCTTCCGCTGCTCAATGGGAAGTATTCATCCACCTGTGGCTAATCTGTGACCCGACAGCCCCACCTTTAGTACCCCCCCCTCAAAACGGCCCAAGCCAAAAAAAAACAAAAACAAAGGCGCGCCTTGGCTCCTCAACCAACACCAAATGGCAGCCGGGCCCCTGGTCACAACTTTCGGCGCACGTCACAACAAAGCTCACCTCGCATTCTTCACACGCTTCCGCTGCTCACTGTGAAGTCCTCATCCACCGTTCGCCGCCCTGTGACCCGCCAGCCCCACCATTAGTACCCCCTCAAGGGCAAAAAAAAACAAAAAAGGCGCATCCCTGCTCCTCAACCAACACCAAATGGCAGCCGGGCCTCTGGTCAAAATTTTCGGCGCACGTCACAACAAAGCTCACCTCGCATTCTTCACACGCTTTGGCTGCTCACTGTGGAGTCCTCATCCACCAGCGGCTACCCTGTGACACAGCACTACCGTCAGAACCACCCGGCCTTTCGCGCGCCAAAACTCGCAAATATCACTCTTGCTCTTGACTCTGGCAGCGGGCAACATGGATAGCATCTTCAAAAGAGGGCTTAAGATCGGTTTCTCACCTGCATTTGAGCGGGAGTGCTTCGTGCCGGATCTGACCAGGCACCGTGGCTCTTGGGCCTCGCTAGCGCGTCCATCAGCGCACGAGCCATCGCGGCTCCTCATGG